ATATCCCCGCTGAGGCCACACACTGGCTGATAAAACTCTTTCTATCTGGGCCTGTGCATATGCTTTGTACTCTCCTTAAAGTGACACTAGACTCAGGCATTAAACCTTAAAAATACATTCAAGTACCTTAACTATTAACAAACATGTATCTTATTTGTGTATCATTCGGCTGTAGATCCTCAAATCATCTCTGAATTGGTGGTGGCACTGTCCTTCCTTCTGGAGGGCGGCTACTATTGTTCCCCATGGTCCCTGTGTGTGTTGTAAAGTAGCCACCGCTCCAAGCTCCCTCCTGTGATAGACTACAATCTCGTGGTTAGCTTATTGATTTGTTTTAAGATTGTAGTCTATTGCGGAAGTGATTGTGGAGCTATAGCCGAGTGATACACAAATAAACTACACGTTTGGCAATAGGTAAGGTTCCTGAATGCATTTTTAAGATTTAACTCCTCAGTTTAGTGTCACTTTAATGCCTAAGGAGAGTTAGTCCAGAGTATGAGCTCGAAGTAGAGAAATTAACTGAACTCAAGAGCCACATATAAAAGAAAAAAACTAATCAAAGAGCTGTCTTCTCCTACAGCAAGTTACAACTGTACAGTATGTTCTTCTTTTACCAGCTTTTTAAAAAGTCCATATATACTTTACAACAATGGTGTCCTAGTTTTCTGTCCCCTATTCTGTAGCGTTGTCTAATCTAGCAGACATCAAGCACATGAAATACAGTGTGCATATCATTGTTATTTACCCTAACAGGTTGTTTTTCAATAATCTCCATAATTGCCTTCGATTTTTTTTTTTTACGGTTAAATCACATGCTGTTAAGTAGAGCACTTCCTTGATTAAATTACCAATGGTGTCGCTACATAATACGCCACATAATTCCCTTTGTAAAGGGAGCCTTCACTGGATTCTGTATCTCTCACACCTCAATTGATTTTATTGACGCATTTATTTATTTTGAAGAAAGGACAAATTTATGTGGCAGAATGTGACAGACTGTAAATCCTATCTATCTATTGACAGGGTATTTAACAGAGACAGGGACGTTAATGAGTTGTCTGTCCCTTTGTCTGAAAGAGCATAAAACATATTTATGGTATCAGATAATAGGCAGGTATTCAATGTAATGAACAACTAGATTTCAGTTGTCTAAGCTTTAAGTTCCATTTTTCTCCAGCGGCCTACAGTACAAGGCTTCTTACAATAGCGGCTCAGAAATAACCACTTAGCTACAGGACTATGTCAAAGGATTAGGCATAAAAACAGCTCATCAGCTAATGCTTACATGGAAGACTAATAAAACTTTTTCAGTTACAGTTTCATTCTGTGTCCATTGTCTATGATTCCTTGAGACATTACTTAAACCTTTTTTTTAAATCTATGACTTATTTAAGTCATTTTAAATTGTAAGTTTTTATTTTATTATGTCAAAATATGATTTGTTTGGTAGCGCTAAACTGCTGGATGTCATGATAATAAAAACAACAAAAGATACAGCAATGACTTACCATTACTGATAATAAGGAATTCTACCTCATACTATGTTGATCTCAAACAACAAGACAATGCTGCAAAAACACATTCAAATATAAAATAAACATATTAACTATATATGGTCAATTAAATAAAGCTATGAGGTGTAAGGTAATTTATAGGAGTACAGCGGACTTAACGGTTTGCAATACATTTTTAAACTAGGTCACTCTGCTTTGGACTTCAAAATAGCTGCCCTGACTGGATTGTAAAAATAAGAAGGACCTTTTAAGATCTATAACATAAATCCACAGTCAAAAAAAGCTTGACATATACTTAATATGTTGTCAAGAATGACTAAATAAGTACTTGTCTACAGGAAGGGACTACAACATGCAAATTTGGAAAACTGAACAAGAAAAATATGAGTGCATGCAATTGAAAAATGGCAAAAGTAACCATTAGTGAGAGAGAGAGAGAGAGAGAGAGAGAGCAGAGGGTTACCAGGAGACCAGAGCTTAATTTTTAGAATTCAGAATAATTGGAAAAGTAATTACCTATTGAATTTGATTGTGAATGTTCTGACAAACATTTCTGGGAAAGGGTACCAATCGGCCTTGTCTGACCTCGGTGAATATAGAAAAGCAAAATATAGTTCCCATGAACAAATATTCCCTCCTAATGAACACCTCTGCTCACATCTATGCTGGCCATAGAAGTGGGATTTTTTAAACTAAAATAACAATATCTGAACATTTCTTTTAATTATATGTACAGATAAAGGGAAAAATATCAAGCACTTCTGAACCAGTAGAATCAATTTAAGTAGTTTTTTTAATTTAAGTAAAAATTAAACTTTCCTATTCCATTGTACTGCAGAATACCTGATTTAGAATCAGATGCCATGCATGTACAATATTCTCTGAAAGATGTCTGCACACATTGGTTTTATTGCACTAAAAACATTTTACTGTAAATGCTATAAGGTTTATTTACTAAAATAATTCTACTTAGCAAAGTGAAATAAGGTGAAGCTGGGTTCTTTTTAATCGCCTAATCATGCGCAACAATTTTTTACTTTCCCTTGTACATGATTGGGTATTCAAAGAAAACATAGCTTCATCTTTTTCACTAAGCTTAACACTCGCTTTGCTAATGTCTACTAAATAAACTGTTGCATGAACTAAAATGAGGGAGGAGAGGTTTAACTATATCCAGCACAAGCTTATTCAGTAAGGCAGTGTGAAGAGAAATGTGAAAAGTGCTATAACCCTCAATAGCCAGTCAAAAATATATTTCCTTACTTTACCACATTAAAATGAAATCTGTTTGACTACAATGGATTACTCTTTGCACTATTTTGAATATGATTGGCAGATTGTGGTCAATAATGTTTGAACAAAATCTAACTTGCAATCATAATTTGGTGCTGTCCTCTGGGGCAGAGCTAAACCTCGCAACATTTACGCCCACATGTATCAAATTATAACAAGGTGTTAAAATGATCTTTATAGACCTTTAACATTTTGCACGTCACAACAAAGCAATGCTTTCCCACCATTTTTCTAACAGGGTTAGCAGGCTTTACTGTTCTATACTGAGATCTTCATGCAATAGAAGCTTAAAGTGACAATAAACTCAGAAGTTAAATACCTTAAAATTTTTTTCCAGTAATCTTAACTATTAAACAATGTAGCTTATTCATGCACCACTCAGCGGTAGATCCTCAAATCATCTCTAAATTTGTACTGACACTGTCCTTCCTTCTGGAGGGTGGCTACTTTTATTCCCCATGGTCCCTGTGTGTTTGGTAGCCACCACTCCAAACTCGCTCCTATGATGGACTACAATCTCATGTTTAGTTTACTAATTTGTATTGAGATTGTAGCCCATCCCGGGACTTGGAGCAGTGGCTACTTTAAAACACACAGGGATTGTGGGAACAAAAGTAGCCACCCTCCAGAAGGAAGGATAGTGTCAGCACCAATTCAGAGATGATTTAAGGATCTACAGCTGAGTGATACCCAAATAGGATAATTTTTTGTTAATATTTAGGTACTTGAATGCATTTTTAGTTTTAACTCCTGAGTTTAGTGTAATTTTAAGCTGTTAGTTAGCTCTTAGTGTCAACTGGTCATTATTTAATCCATGTATCCACCATCCCACATCAGAAGACTTCAATTTGTGATGTTTTATTAAGTATTTTACTTGTGTGTATGATACCTTAAAGTGGTACTGGGGTTAGCCAATAAACTCCTTCCAATCTACACATTTTTTGTGTGTTTTTAAAAATAGTGGAAAATCAAGCCCTTGTTTTGCTTACAAATGGGCATGCTGGCTGGACTGGACTCGTGTCCTCATCCTAACCTGCAGTACTTTTATGGCATGAGATCAACTACTTATATTGCTACGATGGTCCACCCAAACTTTCCATGCTCCATCCATATTCTTTTTTTTGCTTGGATGTGCTTTTGGGGCTTTGGCAGCAGGCTGAATGATTATTGAATATACAAAAAATGCTTTATGGTAAGTTTAGTGAAATACTTACATCTAAAACCACCACATCATATTTTCACTATAGATAGACTTCCACTTCAAGAAGAACTAAATACAAAACATTTAGTTTCCAGGCTGATGAGACCCCACAGAGCTCTGGTGAGACCCTACAGAGACCTGGGTTATTCAGGGCTCTGTGGGGTCTCACCAGGGCTCTTTGGTGGTCTTACTGGGGCTCTGTGGGGTCTCACCATCCTGGTTAAACCCCACAGAACCCTGGTGAGACCCCACAGGCCTGAGCGGGGCCTCATGTTTACGTTTCACCTAAGGCCTCGCAAACTATAGAGCCGGCTCTGAAACACTGTCAAGTTTTTATTGCTGTCTGTGTCCCCCGGTAGGAGATTAACTCTCTCTAACAGTCCTGATCACCAATGTCACCAAGAATAAAAGTGAGGCGTTAATCCAAAACTGAGTTGCCACCAGAACAGGGATAGAGGAAAAATCGTCCAATGTGGACACTTGTTGCTGTGACAACTGTCTAAAGGGGTATTTCCCTCACAGTGGAAAGATATCTTTTCAGTTACTGTTGAGTGTGCAAGACAGAAAATGAAGAGAAATCAGTCTAATTAGATACATGCAACAAAGAAAGAGACTGATTCTAGCCAAAACATTTTGACTTTAGATATTCTTTAATTCTGTGTCTCTAGAACATCAGCCAACCATTACCCATTGACAAGTCATACCTTGATTTGAATTAAATCACACCCCTTTTCTGACAGTATTATTACATTTAGGACATATGACAATATATTATGTTTGCTGAATGGTTGTGAATATTTGGGCAATGACAAAATACCAAAACGCTTAAGAAACCTGTTAGAAAAACCAATCCACCATCTATGGCTGCGAATAGGAATTAATCTACCGACAGTGAATATTTCAATAAATATGAGGGTCTCACAGATATTGATGTACTTTCAAAGCACAGTGGCTACAAAGTATGTATTATAACAAAGGAAAGAGTAACTTACTTTCAGGGTTAATTTCATGTAGAGGTTTTTTCTCTAAAAAAAGAGAGAAAAAGAAATGGAAAAAAAGCCGTGTATAATATTTATGCTACATGCAAATTATGTTAATTTCTCATATGTAAAAATCTGGGGCTCTTGTATTAAAGGAAAACTGGAGGAAAGGCACATAATTTGCCACAGCCAATACAACGGTTATTTGCTTAGTGCAATTTAGAAAATAAAAGCAACTAGCTGACTGGACTAGCTGATATGAGGAACACCATTAGCATTCTCTCCTCCAGTTTTCATATAAGAGCCCTGCTATATGTATAATTTAGCACACGTCATCTTTTCTACTCTCTTCTGTTGTCATTTCAAGGTCACATTCACTTACAAAATTATATGCCCCCTAACAACTGCCTGCATGTCAAGGAGTGGAATGGTATTCTTCTTTAAGCATCAACATGGAGACTATTTCAGATCATTGAGATAACATTATGCAAAATTCATGGAAATGTACCATAGTCTGAATTCTACTTTTGTGCTCTACTGAATATGCTTATACATCTATCCCCACAGATACATGTAATTCAACTCTACTACTGGGAATTAGAGGAAAAGGTAATTTAGGATCCTGTAGACTGTTGTACACAGTTTACAAGCAAAAATATCACAGTGTTGTTGGAACCCAACAATAACTTATAAGTGGCAGGACCCCCAAAAAACGTGAACATTACCCAGGCCAACCAAGTAGGTGTTTGCCACCAGATATAAGCCATTACCATGCCACTGCTGGTTCTAACAACAACTGTACTAGCATTTCATTTCCACTTATTAAACCTTTTGACTTTTCTCAGTGGATAGTAGAGAAAGACCAATGAGATGTCACAATGAAGAGAGGAATGATGTGTTTACTAGTCCAAGGAATATATGAGTTACATTGGAACTAACAAAGACAATATTAATGGACTACACCTACTTCCCACCAATAATCGATGACATGTAAAAAAAACAGTAATGTATGGCTCTGAACTTCTAAAGAACGTTGTAGGGGTCTGGATAAAGCAGAGAAAATAGGTTGGTCTGGGCATCTGAGTTTTTTTTTACATTTACAAGTTAGGGTGGGGGCAGTGAGCATATATTGTTTTCAGTTTCATCTTCATATTAAATAATTTCTTTGAAATAAGCCTTCCTTATTGTTCCACTACCTATTCTTTCAGGCCAATAAAAAATAAGTAGATAAGTCCTGTGCTGCAGCAAATTTTAGCCAAGATGAAACTATTTCATTTTTACCTAGGGCAGTATAATATTTGTTATAGATATAAAGTATTTGTCCATTGTTGGCCACATGTATAGTCCTAAGACATTTTACTACTCTGCATCCAGCAGTCTCCATCGCTGCCACCAAGTTATATCTGTTGCACTTACATGTGTGATCCAATTATGTTTTGGACAACACATTTAGGAAGATTTTTACATCGATGATAGAGGTTTCCAACCAGTAACTTGTGGACCACACGTGGTTGTGCTCCTAGCAGCCAAGTGTTATTTATCTGTATGAATCCCTGATATACTGTGCACAAATGTACAAATATTAAAGCTAAATCTAAGGTACAATAACTTTGATTTAAATATATTTCTCAATAGCCACAAAGGATATAGATTGACTTTGTGTGCACCAAATGCCAAGTGGCATCATCACTGCGCTATACATAGCCAGTGCAGAGAGAAGAGCTGTGGGAGGGACCCAGAAAGCCCCACCCACTGCAAGCTGCCTGCAGAAAACTATACAGGGGAGGAGACAAGACCAGTCGCCCTGCATAGGAGAGAAAACAGCAATGACTGGTCTTTGTTACAGGAAACTACTCGGAGGTAAATTTCACACTGCATTTCGTCACAGACCTGGACCACAAAGGACACCATAGTTCAAGTAATAATAGACATGCCTCTCTTATTTAGACACTATTTGCTTAGCCTGGAATTCAACTTTGTGCCAAACAAACATCAAATTCATATATTTTATGTGATATGAATTGTTACACCTGTAAAAAGTTGTATAAGTATTACTGTTTATTTAAAGATTTGGCCTCCATATTATTTTGCATAATAGGCGGACAAAATGGGGCATAAGCATACACTATATCACCAAATAAATACCCTTAGAAAAAAAGCAGTGTAGGGAAAGCCCCACTGCAAGGGTTAAGAATATTTCTGCCTGGAGTTCTTTTATAATTTCTACTATTTTATATATACTATACTATTTCAGAAACTATAAAATTAAAGTAAATGGCAATATAAAAAAACGATTACATCTTCAATACATGCATACTTCCATATGTTTTGTCTCTTTAAAGCAAGTACAGGTCTGCCAGAAAATCCAGTACATTTGCAACTGGCAGGATCACCAGTTGAAAATAAAGGAAACAAGATCCTGAAAAAAAAACAACTAATAAAACCATCCCATCAGTTCCTGTACATGAATAATGGAACACAATTAGTATACCCATTGACAATACTGTTGCTTTTACAGAAAGAAGAATTCAGCTTCCCATGTCCTCAATGATGACATAACATATCTCAAAGCAGACATTGTATGAATAAGACATTGCATCTCTTAAAATATTATGTACTGGACAGCACTGTCTAACTGATTGACAAATAATTTCCGCGAGCAGCAATTATCTGCCTTTGGCACTCTTATCTCACCACAGACTGTTCAGCATGTTACAGGCTGCAGCACTGACAGCATTTCACAAGTAACAAGATATTTTGATTGAGTTTGAGAATCATGTAAAATGGCTGTGTTTCTGTTCAATGTTTCTTATAATAAACATGCTGCAGTCACGAGGAAGGAGAAACAAAAATAAAAATAAATACAATACATTATCAGTCGGATGTTTAAAGGGGACTTGGAGAAAACCTAATAATTTCATAACTAGAGGGCCTCTAAGAAATGTATTTAACCCCCCTGGAAGTTTTCAGGTTTGATATAAGAAAGACTCAATCCTAATGTGTTTAATTTAGGGTTGTTTTACACTGCTCAACAGATACATACTCCTTCACATCAAAGTAAAAAGAGATATCTGCAAAAATCTTTTATATTTCCTGTGTGGAAATAGAGTGGGTCCTTTCCCTACTGTAGCCCTTGTGGAAGCAGAATCCAATCACTGAAGACATTAAAGTGACACTAAGCTCTGGAGTTAAATCTTAAAAATCCATTCAAGTACCCTAACTATTAACAAAAATGTATCTTATTTGTGTATAACTTGGCTGTAGATCCTCAAATCGTCTCTGAATTGGTGCTGACACTGTCTTTCCTTCTGAAAGGTGGCAACTTTTGCTCCCCATGGTCCCTGTTTGTGTTGTAAAGAAGCCACCGCTCCAAGCTCGCTTCCATGATCAACTACAATCTCAATACAAATTAGAAGACCAAACTTAAGATTGTAGTCTATCACCCACACAGTGACCATGGGGAACAAAAGTAGCCCCCCTCCAGAAGGAAGGACAGTGTCAGCACCAATTCAGAGATTATTTGAGGATCTACAACTGAAAAGAAAACACACCTGAAAAACACTATAAAATAATGGAGCTCTACATGCACACATAAATCTAAACACACATGAATTCTCACTCAATTGCAACCACTTTCAACTAGATTTCAATCTTCAAAATGATCCAATGGGTCAGGAGAAATACTACAAACAATACCTACTTAAAATTGTGCAATAATAAACTGTTGGCTGTAGCCTGACTAGAATTGCATTAACCACAACTTGTTATAGCTTGGAGCTCTCCAGAAGACAAATCTCTGCACACAGGTTGCCAGCTCTTCCCACTAAAATGGGGTATCACTCTTACCTCCCTTTAGTTTTTATTTATGAGAGTGTCATGCTTGGCTTCATAGTGGGAGCAGATGAAAGAACAAGAAGAGCCTTTCAGCTTGAGCCACTCTGGCTTAGCCTATATTTTTAGAAATTGGAGCCATGCTGCCCAACCCGTGGCCTTTTTGCACTTATTGTGTGGCCCTTAGAGCACCTTCAGGCAGTTATCTGTGTTTTCATTACCAAGGTGCCCACTCAGACTAGTAAATTATTTTTTTTATTTTTAGACTGGGTTCTAGTAGGTAATATGTTGGTTTACTTCTTTTACACGATCTTACTTTTTCTGTGTTGTCCATCTTTTTTTCTTTTTGGCTTTTTTTTTCACTGATTTTTTATAATGGACCTTGCTGTGGCTCATGTAAATTGTAAGTGGGCCGCAGCTAGCACAAATGCAGAAGCATGGATTTGTAAAGGGACTGTAATAGTGGTGACCTTGTGCAGTCTCATGTAATGTGTCTCCAGTCTAAAACGGTCTCTTAAAGTAACTCCTCAGTCTTTTAACAACTTCTATAGCATGTTTGCAATTTCTGACTCTCTGATGCAGCACGTCCTCAGTCTCTTAGTGGGTCCTGTTGCATGTCTTCAGTCTCTCAAATTTTTATGTTTTGTCTTTTACTGAAAATGTTGTGCAGCCCTTTAAGGATGTAAGCAGTCACACTTGAGGCCCCCTATATCAGGAAAGTTCACTTTTTGGTCGAACATGACCTTCAAATATGTAGGCCGTTAGCGAATGTAAGCGGTAACACATGAGGCCCCTATATCAAGAAAAATCACTTTCTGGTCAAACATAACCTTCAAATATGTAGGCCCTTTGGGGATGTAAGCGGTCACACTTGAGGCCCCTATACTAAGAAAGTTCACTTTGTGGTCAAACATAACCTTCAAATATTTAGGCCATTTGGGTATGTAAGCAGTCACACTTGAGACCTCCTATATCAAGAAAGTTTCCTTTATAGTGAAACATAACCTTCAAAAATGTAATGAAAAGAGTTTAAAAAGAAATTCCATAATTTTCATATTTTCTGTATCAGAAACCATGACTAATGAACACATAAGAGACCACAAGTGTGTGAAATTACATTTACCATATCACCTGCTCACACGACAAAGGTGCAATTTGCTTTGCTAACGTAAACACATTACCAGACATTTCAATGTACAAAAAAGCAGAATGAA